GTCAGCCGGTCAGCCGGTCAGCCGGTCAGCCGGTCAGCCGGTCAGCCGGTCGGCCGGTCGGCCAATCGGCCAGCCAGTCAGCCAGTCAGTCAGCCAGCCAGTAAGCCAGTAAGCCACTGAGTCAGTCAGCGAGTCATCCAGTCAGCCAGTCAATCAGTCAGTCATCGGTAAGTCTGTCAGCCAGTTAGCCAGTCAGCCAGTCAGCCAGTCAGNTCAGCCAGTCAGCCTGTCAGCCAGCCAGTCAGTCAGTCAGTCAGTCAGTAAATCAGTCAGTCAGTCCGTTAGTCAGTCAGTCAGTCAGTTTGTCAGTCAGTCATCGATCAACCCGTCAGCCAGTCAGCCAGTCAGTGAGTCATCCAGTGAGCCATTCAGCCAATTAGCCAGTCAGCCAGTCAGTCAGTCAGTAAATCAGTCAGTCAGTCAGTTTGTGAATCAGTCATCGATCAGCCAGTCAGCCAGTCAGTGAGTCATCCAATGAGCCAGTCAGCCAATCAGCCAGTCAGCCAGTCAGTCAGTCAGTAGATCAGTCAGTCAGTCAGTTTGTGAGTCAGTCATCGATCAGCCAGTCAGCCAGTCAGTGAGTCATCCAGTGAGCCAGTCAGCCAATCAGTCAGTCAGCCAGCCAGTCAGTCAGTCAGCCAGTCAGTCAGTCAGTCAGTCAGTCAGTCAGTCAGTCAGTCAGTCAGTCACCAGGTCAGCCAGTCGGTCGGCCAGCCAGACAGCCAGTCAGTCAGTAATAGATAGATATACATACATACATACATCAACTTTATTAATGTCTTTACATCAAACCGATGGGGAAAAAACCCCTCTACTAATTGGGGACACTTAATATAATTAATAACCTACTAACTATTTTCTACTGAACTGTTAAAAAGCCTATCAATATAATTAATAATATAACATAGTTAAAAACCAACAAACTTTTTCCCAATAACAATCAACTAATGGGATAAATTATTAAAAAGAATTAAGAATTACAAAGGATGCGGTTGGAACAATTCTATCATTACACTTAAAACAAATTTAGGGATACGATTACGAGTCAGTCAGTCAGTCAGTCAGCCAGTCGTGTGTTCGTTCTTTCTTTTGTTCGATCATGGTTTGATTTTCCGAAGCTTGCTAACATCTTAAAATTAAAGCCAGCGAAATTAGTGACAAACAACTTTTCGCCGCGTGAAAAAACCCGGTTAAGTATTATTTATGATATAAGAATTTGAAGCGCATGGTTCTAACGTGAAAAGTTTTGCACAGTCAGACTGAGTATTTAGATCCGGTTTAAGTTCTCTAATATTAAGCACCTGGTTTAAAGCTGACAGGCCATGCAAAGCGTCTTCAGAATTCCGCTGTAGAGGGAGCCGAAAGTGTATTCCAAGTACCTGGGTTTGCGATGGTGACGCTGACTGTGCAGACCATTCCGATGAAGAGGGCTGTAACATTAACAGTACTTACTCCTGCAGTGTCAGAGAATTTCAGTGTCGAGGCAGTGGAGCGTGTATCTTAAAGACGTTCGTTTGCGACGGCGACAATGATTGCCCAGACAAATCAGATGAAGCAAACTGCAAAAGCACTTGTAACAACCACTTTCACTTTCAATGCCGCGGCAATGGGGAGTGCATTCCCAAAGGCTGGGTGTGTGATGGTGATCGAGACTGTTCTGACAATTCAGATGAAGCAAACTGCACTCAAGTGGTGCCTACATGTAACAGCAGATCATTCCAGTGTGAAGATGGCTCGTGTATTCATGTGAGCTGGCGTTGTGATGGCGATAGAGACTGCAGGGACAATTCAGATGAGCTGAATTGCGCAACCCCTAGCCCCAGTCCTACTCGGCGATGCAACAGTAGTGAGTTCCAGTGTCATTCAGACGGATGTGTCGAGAAAGCCAAACACTGTGACGGCAAACCTGACTGCCAAGATGAATCAGACGAGAAAACATGCGGTGAGAAGCTTGATGTGAATAGTAATAATAATAATAATAACAATAATAATAACAATAACAATAACAATAATAATAATAATAATAATAATAATAATAACAATAAACAATAATGACAGTCTGCCGTTTAAACGCTGACCGGGCGTGTGTCCACTAATTTTAGAAAGTGGACGATTGCATGAGCTTGTGAATTAGTATGTTAGGATCTCATGATATTTTTATTTCATCAAAATTTTAGTCTACGATAGTGGAATGTGTAAAGATTTCTAAATAGGTTTTCTGAGAAGATTTTAATAATGGAGTACAATTCAGGGAGAAATCGCGCGAGTAATTTCAAAGTCGGACGAGCGCGAAGCGCGAGGTCGATTTGAAATTACGAGCACGATTTCTCCCTGAATTGAACGACACGAGGTCCAATTACTAATTAATCGTATCTATAACAAAATTCGGAATTAAAAATGTCGTTTGGGAACTCCTTTTGAGCGAAAACGTATGTAGCACGTTTAATAAGTTTTGAAAACTGTAAGAAATATTGCAAAGAAAGCCATTAAAGCGCGCGCAATTGATGTGCGAATCACGTGGGTATCCAATTACAGGTATCCAATTACAAAACGTTCAAATCAAATACCTGTAACTGGACACCCACGTGATCGCGCGCCGATTTCGTGTCAAATAGGCGCGCGGAGAACCAATCACAATCGAGAATTTTGTTGTACATTTTGTAGGTTTACAGTTATAACTTAGTCATAAAAAGAAGAATAGAAGTATAATATGAGTCTGGAGACTGAATTAACCCGAACGTTTTCTAGTAAGTCTCCAGCTATTGTAATGTCTTGATAGATATTTATGACAGAACTGTTAAGAGAAGAACTGTGTACATAGTATTGTAGGCATTCAAAATGTTGTTCTGACAGTAAATATAATTGTAAGTAAATAATTGTTTAGAGAATTCGAAGACATTGATGTCTTAAAGGTGAGTGGGGATTTCGTCACAGAGTATAGTCGCTGTGTAAGCTTCTGTCTCTTTTCCAGAACTTTTCTCGTGACTACCGTTATAAAACATTAAGTCGACTTTGTTTACTTTTTAGATGACGGTCCTTGTGGCGCACAACAGTACGTCTGTAAAAATGGAAAGTGCATAGATTTGACTGCGAGGTGTGACGGGAAAAACGATTGCCTTCATGATGAGCAAGATTGTGGTACGTTACGAAATAATTTTTTTTGGTTTCACTTTATTTCAAGCTAGTTCTTAGCCTCCTCCAGGCGTCCAGTTAGTTGGGGCGCGGGTTACAGCGGGTTACAGCGAGCAATCTCGAGCAGATGAGATAGCCAAATTTAGCTAGCTATATAATAGGTTATATAAAAAAAACTCATTGGATAATGCATTTCGAGAGCTGTCATTGCCTCAGCCATCATGGGTTATCAGCCATTAGTATCACCCAACTAGTGGACTAATGCAAATCCTGCATTTTGATTGGCTGCGCTACTAG